TTTTTGATTATCAAGATATTGTAAAATAGTAATGATAATATAAAAAAAGAAGAGGGTTCTTTCAATTGATTAATTCAGGATACAATTAAATAGTCTCTTGATGAGATAATTTGTATTTCGGGATTCAAAACAATGAAATAACATTTCCTGTCCCCTGAAGGTCTTCAGAGACAGGTTGAGGTCGGAGGTCTAGTTCACTACAGTCCCTGCTTTGGAAATCATCGCCTGTCCATGGGGATGAATTCCAACATGAACTTACACCTCCGAATGTCCTTGATCTTGATGTAATCTAGCAAGAGGAAAACAAAAGTCAAAGAAGGTAATCCTACAGTGGTTTAGGTAATTCCACAATGTTGTTGGTAATTCCATAATGTTGTTGGTAATTGCATTGCAACAACGCTTTAACCCCTTGGAAACAAAGTCTATAATCCATTGGAAAAAGTCATATAATCCACAACGATAAATCCACAACGATTGGAGGTGTTGATTGATCAATATGTAGAGGGGTTCCCTAGATTGAACTGTAGAGGCGACCAATGGATGGAGTTTGGAAACCCACGTTGGAGTTGTAGGTCCCTTCAGCGAAGGTTGCTGCTGGTGGTTCCCAGTGGATGCCATTCTGGTTCTATGTGTTCATGCATTTATGTGGTTTTAGTTGGGCTTGAGTGGGATTTTACATAAGACCTTAACCTATATGCACCTGGTGTGTAAGCTATCATGGTTTAGATCAGCTACAGGTACCAATTAAAGGGTGGGTCATGCTGAAAAATTATATATAGGGATTTATACCTATAGAAGGGCATTCCAAACTATTTTTCCATTCCTAACTTGGTTTAAGTTAGATTTACATGGCAAAATATAGTTTACCATACCATACCATACCAACTTTATTTATAAAGCACCTTAAAACAACCATGGCTGACACAAAGTGCTGTACATTAAAACACAACATAATAAAAGTGGAAATAAAAACAGTTTAAAAACAGAAAACATACAATTTAAAACTAGATCCTGCTGGTGTTAAAAACATACATTTTAAAAGCATACAAAATTTAAAAACTAGATCCCGCTGGTGTTAAAAGCCAAGTTGAATAAATGAGTTTTAAGACGAACTTTAAAAATGGACAGTGAAGGGGACTCTCTGACCTGCAAAGGCAAGTCGTTCCATAACTTAGGGCCCATGACAGAGAAAGCCCTGTCCCCTCTGAGCTTCCTTCTTGTTCTTGGTACCTCCAAGAGCAGCTGATCTGCTGACCTGAGAGACCGATAGGGTATGTAGGGATGAAGAAGCTCAGAGAGGTAAGCCGGGGCAAGATTATGCAGTGATTTAAAAACAAACATAAGAATTTTAAAATGAATCCTAAAATATACAGGCAGCCAGTGAAGTGAAGCCAGGACAGGGGTCACATGTTCCCTCTTTCGAGTTCCTGTTAAAAGTCGTGCAGCAGCATTCTGAACCAGCTGCAGACGTGAGAGCAGCAACTGACTGACTCCCAGATAAAGTGCATTACAGTAATCCAATCGAGTCGAAATAAAGGCGTGGATCACCATTTCAAAATGCTGTCTGGAAAGAAAAGACTTCACTGACGCCAATCGCCTTAAATGATAAAAGCTGGACTTAACCACGGCTTTGATTTGGCTGTCCAATTTAAAATCACTGTCCACCTTAAAACCAAGATCTGTAATAACAGGTTTAAAATATTTCTCCAAGGGTCCCAGGTCAATAGAGGAGGACTCACAGGAGCCACTGGGTCCAAACACCATCACCTCGGTTTTGTTTTCATTAAAATTTAAAAAGTTCAAGGCCAACCAAGCTTTAATATCTCCTAGACATTCCAGGAGATGTGTGAACGTATGTCCATCCTTCTGCTTTAGGGGTAAATAAATCTGACAATCATCAGCGTAACAATGGAATGAAATCCCATGTTTCCTAAGGATAGAACCCAGAGGCAGTAAGTACAACGAGAAGAGCATAGGGCCCAGAATTGAGCCCTGCGGGACACCATATTGTATTGGAACTGAAGATGATTCAGAGTCATTAATTTTCACTGAAAATGTTCTCTCCTCCAAGTAAGACTTAAACCATTTAAGAACAGTGCCATCAATACCAACAATATGTCGTAATCGCGATATTAAAATGTTGTGGTCTACTGTATCAAAAGCAGCAGTTAGATCAAGTAAAATCAGAACAACATGATTACCAGAATCACAATCAAGAAGGATGTCGTTAAAAACTCTAATTAAAGCAGATTCTG